AAAAATGAGGGGGGGGGGAACCTTCTCGGCTTTCCTGTCCTGCGTACGGTCAGTATATTTGGGCTGAGAAGGGCAGGCAGCAGCTCATTGGCCCCGTTGCAGCTGCTGCCCTCAGTGTGGGGCTCCCAGCTCCACATCGGTATGCTTAGGCACCGCCGAGGGCACCTAGACCGACGCTGGGAGCTAGATGTCAGCAGAGCTGCGCTGTTGACTAGGTGGGCCGTCAGGCCTGTAGTATTCATGTCATTTGAACGTTATGAGTGGAGGTAATATATTGTTCTGTCTACTAGTATAGTACAGACATTTAGCGGCGGCGTTGGCCTCGGTGCTGGCTACGGTTTTGGCCACGACGTTGGCCTCGGCTGCGACCGCGTTCACTACGTTCTCCACGCTGTTGGGGTGAGGAGCTTGAGGTCTCAACGTCGTTGGTGTGCAGCAGGTGGGCAGGAATGAGCAGCTCTGCTTCCCTGTTAACTGTGGTGGGCGGTGGGCCTAGCCAGCCATCGAGTGTGGGGTAGAGGCAGTGGCCAAGCGGGTGGTCGGCACCGAGGCATCCTGGGCATGGTTTTATGTTCGTGTGGATGTGGCCAGTGCCAAACGTGCTGTGGGCAAAGATGTGACGTGTTACAGCATTGCGGAACTCACGCCATGTTCAGTTGTCCAGCGTTGGGGGGTCAATGTAGAAATTGACGAGTGGCCAGGATGTGTGTCCTCCAGGGTCCGACATCTGAAGTATTGTGACTCGAATGGTCAGGAGCAGGCATCCGATAGCCTGTTCTCGCTTCATGTCGGCATAATGGGGGTGCGTTGACAACAGGTAGGCCAGCAGTTGTGCGAGCCTACCACGTGAAAATTCCGCGATGAAAACCCTGCGGATAGCACTTTCTTCATAGGTGCTGAAGCCCCGGAATTGGCCGATGTGTGTGGGGAGCGGCTGGGGTGTGGATGGCCAGCAGAAAAAGGTGCATGGGGCCATGGACCAGCAGAAGCGGTCCAAGAGGGTGTCGTGGTCCTGCTGGGACAGGTTGTAGATAGCGTATAGGAACAGGCCATCGGTGCGACAGTGACCATCTGCGCATGGGGCAGCAACACAAGCGACGGTGAACCCAAGGTCGTGGAGTGTCTGCTTGAGAAGAAAGACTGTCTGTTCTTCATCAGTCCATAAGGTAGCGCAGAAGCAGACGGCAAAGACAACGTAGTCTGGGAGAACTTCCCAGTTGAGAAGCTGTTCTCGGAGCTGTCTGTGGTGTAGGTAGTTGGGGTCACTTAGGCATACGGGTGGAAGGCCGACATCTGGGATGGGCATGGTGGCGATGGCTTCATCGAGTGTGACAACCTGTCTGTCGTCGAGGTACAGGTCCTCATTGGAGGAGGCGCTTCTGGGGTGCCCTTCTTGTTGGTCGCCGGTGTTGGCCATTTCTGTGTTGTCATCTGGTTGTGCCTGTACAGGAGTTAGAGGCTTGGAGGAGCGTGCTGTGGTATGCGTCGCATTTTGCGATTGGGAGCCAGCGTGTATAGAGCGGTTGGCTCGACCGGTACGAGGTGTCTGGGGTCCGGTAGCATCGTCTTTATCATCGGTAGAGAGCGGTGGGAGTTGGGACTGTATGGAGAAGGGCTTCTCAGGTGTGCGGGGCTGGTATGGGCCCTGGGGAGTGGATGGTTGGGCTGGAGTTCGAGTCGTTAGCTTTGCGTCAGCTGTGGTTGGGCGGGAGCGCTTACACGAGGCGTAGATGGGGCCGTCTTTGCGGGCGTTTGGCGGTGGACCGCTGGATGTGTGAAGGCCTGGAGGGAGTCGAGGGCTTGGGGCCGGCTTTGGCTTGCTGGTTTCCTGTGGTTTGTCCATGCACTGGTGTTGTGAGTGTGAGTGTCTGTAGGCTGGTTGATGGTTCTTTGTTCTTCATACCTTGTAGGCTTGGTCTATGTGAGAGGCCGCGAGGTTGTTGACAGCGGTGGGTACTGCTGTGTATGCAGAGGTGGATTGTTGTCGTGGCGAGTTTTTAAAAGCGAATGGTTACGAGTGGCGCTTAGACTGTGCAGGTGGTCTCATGGTCTCGCTTATGGAGATCTGCTTAGGAGGTTTGGCTCAGGTGAAAAAATAGATTTGGCATGCGGTAGCAGTGGGCAGTAGCTAGAGAGTGACTTAAGAGATACGTTTGAATGGTATTTTAAGGAGCGTGGTCGACGCTGTCAAGGCATCGCGGAGTAGAGATGGGCAGGGCTGGCTGCCAGCGCCTGGCCAAAGTAGTCCGGACATCGTCCTTAAGCGGGTCAGTGCGTACAGTGACTGCAGGTGTTAGCGCAGGAGGTATAGTAGGCCTGCAGGGCAGCGATTCGGTGCTGGTGGTCTGTGGTTGTCTTAGTAGGGTGTGTGATTTGTTGCGCAGCAGTACTCACCAGAGAATCAGGTTCTGGCGGCTATTGGGGTCACGCGACCTACTGATCCCGAGAGCTGTAAGGCGGTGTAGGCACAGGCAGTGCTCAGAAGTGCTGGAGATGGCCTGTTCTCAGAGTCAGAGAGCGAAGGGAGTGTGGCTGGGCGGTATCGGGCTGGTTGTGCAGCCACAGAGCGTGGGGCTTCAAGGTAGAGGTCACCGTCAGGGTGTTGCACTGAGCGTGCCAGGTGAATTACGACGTTCATTGCGGATGTCTTTGAGTTGGCAATTTCCTCTACGCGGAGTGCACT